TCTCAGGTTCCTCTCTGGCTTTTATAGTGTTCTATCATTATTATAAAAAGTAATGATAAAAAAGTAACGACATTACTTTCTTCTTATCTGTGGTAAAGGTACATAATATATGTAACATTTAAGAGTAAAAAAAGAATATTATATATACTAATTTTATATTTTTCTATGAATAGATAAATATATAGATATGTTCTTTTTAAACAATAAATTAAAATATTTAAATGTTCAATTGTTTTGTTATATCTTTTTAATTTGTTAACAGATTATTATATATATTGTGAAAAAGAACATGAGTAACGACAGAGAGAAGTTTAAAAAAGTAATCATTACCATGTTACTATAAAAAAAAAGACTTTTGTCTTTATACGAATTAGATTTTAGTTCGTCATCTGATAGTGAAACAGAAATTTTGTTAACACTTTGCTCAAAAAAAAAAAGAAGAACAAGGTCAATCGAATCCAACACTACGTTGAACAAATTGTTCATCATTTCAACAACATAGAATTTCAGGCAAATTTTAGAATCACGCGTGAAGCCTTTCAAAGTTTACTCACTATCGTTGGTCCGAAGATAGAAAATTCTACTGGAACTGGGAGACCAGTGGTTCCAGTTGAGAAGCAATTATTAGCAACAATATGGCTCTTAGCGACGCCAGATTCTTATAGGTATGTATGCTAGCATTATGTTTATTTGTATTATTGTACATATATAGCATCAATTTTTATCGAAAATAAATTTTCACTTTTTAACAACTCTTTGATTAAGACAGAAAATTTCACTGTAAAATTTCCAAAAAGTATCTGAATTAATCGTATAAGCTACTATTAATATATTTGTCAAATTATAGTTGATGTTCGTTCATGTCAACAGATCAATCTGCGAAAGATTTGATTTAAGCAAATCTACATTGTTTTCCTGCTTTGTTCGAGTTATGAAAGCTTTAAATGAGATTGCACCGCATGTGATTCATTGGCCAACAGAACAAGAACTTCCATCAATAAAAGAAAAATTTAAAGCTATGGCTGGAATCGATAATGTTATAGGTGCTCTCGATGGGACATATGTGCCAATTAAAGCACCATCAAAGGATACTGAAACATACAGAAATCGCAAAATGCAACATGCCATAACGCTACAGGCAATATGTGATGCCAATTTAAAATTCATAGACTGTTTCGCAGGTTATCCTAGTTCAGTACATGATGCTAGAATTTTTAGAAATTCTGATATTTATCATTCTATACGTCAAAATCCAGATAAATATTTTCCACATGGAGAATTTATTTTAGCTGATAAAGCTTATCCTACTTTCAAGTGGTGTATTACGCCATATATGAATCGAGGAAATTTAACAAGACAGCAGGAAAATTTTAAGACACGCGTTTCGCAGACAAGA